AGATGGCTTCTTTTCAGAAGCACTGTTTCCCATGATATAGCTCTCTAAGATAAGCCCACCCTGCCTTTTCAGGAGGGTCCATTATCTGTGCTTTAGGCCTCTGTTACATGAGTATTTTGCTTTTTGCACAGATATAGCATAAAAATACCTGTGTGGTAAAGGATTGTACAGTCCTGGCTTGTGCTTTGTGGTGATACTGAAATATGAGTAAGAATCACTGGTGCAACTCATATAAAAATATGAGTCTTGTTGGAGGACAGGTATTCCTGACAACAAAAATATATTTGGCTATTAATGTTCCTAATTTGAAGAGGAAAAAAATAAAGTAATTAGAGATATGGAGGAAAAAAAAAAAATCTAAAATAAGGTTGTCCATGTAGTAAAAGCAGACATTCAGCTGTTACAAATTGGCAATGATCCACTGGTTTCCACAGAGCTCTGCAGATCATGCCAGCTGAAGAGGTGACCCTGAATATTATCACAGTTTTCTTGGAGGTGGCAGGAAAATAAATCCTTTACAATTTCCTCTTTAAGAACTCAGGATTTCCGTTTTTATAACTGCAAACTCTCAGAATGAAATGTGGAGCACAGAGACAGGCAACTCCACACTGACTGTGTTTGATTAGGGTAATCCTTTTTTTCCTTCTATGTGGTTACTACAGCCAAGCAATTATTTATCATACTTTCAATTGCTTGAAGCATTGTAGACTACAGGTTAAATATTCTTATGTCATTGTGAGTCTTCTGCTCCAAGTTCTCATTGAAATCTAATTACTTTCATCTTCAAAAGAAATTTTAATGAGCTCAAAGTATCTACCCTTCTGGTTTAATTGTTACACTTCACATTCTGCAGATCAAAACCTCCTATTTTTCTTTTTTTTTTTCACCTTAAAATGCTGTTGACAAGTTCTTTCCGGAGCTCTTAACTTCTGTCCTCCTTTTATTGTAATATTCATGTAAGATATAAATCCAGAAATATGCAACACACGCAGATTCAAACCTGTAACAGATCTACTCTTTACCCCTGAAGAACAGAATATGTGCCAGGCACTGTTACTTTGATTGGCCTGGTATCAGGGATGTCTCAGATGTGGGTGCCTGTAGCAGTCAAATAAATCCATTAAATCAGTGATAATAAATATATTTGGTACGGGTACCAAGACTTATTCTGGATTACTTGTGGAAACAAAGCACAGAAGAAAGTTTTTATGTGCTCATGTGTTCAGGCAGCTACACATATACTGTTGTCCTCTCCTTTTCTCACTTCATGGCCTGCTGCATGTGTGTCTTGGGTGCCATTTGTTCAGACCCATCGTTATCCTCACACATTCTCGTGTTTTCATAATCCCCTTTGAGCATCCTTCTTTCACTCATCCTCATAAATATTAATTACTGTGGTGTGGTTGAGATAAATACAGTTAGACAGCTTTTCAAGTGGAAAGTTCTTGGCTTGTTTCTATAAAGCTGCAGTCTTGAATTCCAAGTTGTGGTCAATATTTAGTGTCAATGAAATGGGTGTGACCTGGGACTGGCTGCCAGCATTTGTAGGGATTGGAGTGCTCTGAAGTATCTGGCCTTAATAGTTGAGTTTCCAGTATTCTTCACAGCAAGCATTTGATTTGTTCTGTTCCTCCAGCCCTTTAGAGAGAATTATTTCCCCTTTGGTTTCTTATAAAATTCTATAATCTACAGCATTTTAGCACCTTGATTCAAAGTGTGAAACATTGCTGTGCCAGAGAGTGACCCTGGTAAGTCACTGGCACTGCATGTACTGAATAGAGAGAGACTGAGAAGTCTCTGGTCAGGTCTACAGATCTGGAATTTATTTCCTGTAGTGCTCTTCTGGTTGTGCAGTAGATGAGTCTCTGAAGAGCTGTGCAGTGCTGTTCTAATGTCAATGACTAGCAGGCTGCTTAAGTGTTGGTCTCTGCTAATTACTAAAGGTGGGCCACGGTTAAATTTAGAAATAAAGAGTTAATATATATATTAGTGTATATATATATATTAGTATAATATATAGTATTCTATATATATAATATATATTAACAAAAGGTTCAACATTAATGTTCACACTCACATTTTGTTACTGCATGAAACCTTCTTGGGAGAATGCAGGGGAAGTTTTGTGCTTGATCATGGGAAATGAGGAATGCAGCAAAAAAATGTTCTACCTGCATTTTAAAGAGGTATAAAGTGCATCCATCCTGCAAGATTCAATTGGATGTATATTGCACTCAGACCCCTGAACCTCTGCAAAATCTCTGAGGTGTTTACAATAAGTGTTAGATCAGTTTTCAAGAATCCTGAAGTAAAGCAGTGAGACACAGATCTAGGTCAGATCTGAGTCTTAGAGTATTCTTAAAATTATTTTTTAGAAAAGAAATTACAAGTTGATACTTGTGCTCATCTCCCTATATGGTGCTTCAGATTTAGAACTCAGTTATTAGGGAATTTTCAAAATTGTTCTTTTTTAGCTACTTAATTTACCATCAGCCATCCAAAGACAGATTGGTAGGATATAAATGCAATGCTATAATTATACAAGGGAGTGGGTCACTGACCTTTGGATTGCAATATCTTGTCTCTTTTGTCCTTTCCTTATACCACCCAGTCTACAGGATGAAATTGCATCTTTTTCTTTGGTTGTCTCAAGAATGAGGTGGTATTGGAAACTAGTGAGGCATGGCACAATGTAGGTGTTCATAGCTTGCAATAATTTACCCATTTTCATTTTGTTTGATTTTATTAACACCTGTGTCTCCAGGGAACACAGGGAGCAGGGGAGGAAAGGAGAGAATACTTCAACAATAATCTAATGATCAGCACTTACGCTCCCCCCAGCCCTGCTGTTATGTCAAATGTCAAGATACATCACAGCCAAGCAATTTATAATACAAAATGCGTGGATATATAAAGGAAGAAGTGCAGATGGTGGGAAGCTGTGTGTCATGCCATACACACAGACATGGAGGACAGCAAGGGAGTCATTAAAAATATGGATTTTTTTTGTAATGCAGTGGCTGTTTGTCAGCTGGTGTAATTGGCATACATCAATGGAACCACTCAGAAATACACCTTCTAAAGAATTAGGCACTTAATGGAACTTAATCAAAATTCCTTACAGAATACTAAAAAAAAAAAAAATTTTGAACAGAATTTGGACACAAAGGAAAAAGCACATAAGGAAATATGGGACTGGAGTCTGCTGAAGTTTCATCTGGGTATTAGTTTCTGGAGTATTTCTGTAAATATTGACATTCTAGGCAGTAGAATGCAAAGATTTGCTATCAAGTTAACCAAAGTATTCTAAAATTTGAGAAATTATAGTACTGTTTAGTTAGAGAGCTGATTTCAACAAAATTAAATAAATTCATCAGCAAACTTTTAAAGTCGTAATCAGAAGAGTTTTATTAGTGTCATTTCCTTTTCTTTTCCTTTTTAGTTGTTAGATGATTTTTTCAGTACTGTGTAAATTTAGCATTGCTAAGACTGGCATAGAAAACAACCTGAAAAATGTCTGCCAGATTATAAATAAAATTTTAAAAAGGCAAAAAATAGCTGAATTGTCTAGTCACTTTTCACAAGGACTTAACATCTTCAATATCTGACTGAAGTAATATCATTTTTGTGGTCATATGCTCTAATCTTTCAGACATTAATTCTTTGTTCACAGTCTCAGTGGGAGGGTTTGTTCTTTACTTTGTTTTCTTGTGATTCATAAATATGGGAATCTGGTGAGAAGGAGGGATTGAGAGAAAAGGGAAGGGTGAAGTCCAAAAAAACCACATAGGCAGTTAGTTCTTCCTTATCACCTGTTTTGTCCTAGGAAAAATTGAAAGTAACACAATTTTTAAGACACCGATTACATGAGTTTAAAATGTGGAGGGAACAGTTCAAGCCTACTGCCTAGTTCTCCTGTCTGACTATAAACATCCTCATTGATTTTTTTCTTTTCTCTTTAGGTACTAGAGTAGAACAGGTGACAGTGTCAAGTTTGATATTTAGCAAAACACAAAGTTGCTGTAGTGCCTTATTGTGCAGGTACAATTTCCTAATAAAAGTCCTCATGACATGAATTGCAACATCAATAAAAGCATATTGAAAGAGAGAGCTGAATCAAAAATATATGTATATTAAAAATGCTGTATTTTCTTTTGAATTACTTGGGGTTTGAAGTCTTAGGACTTTGGTTCTTCAGCACATAAGGGAGTGTTGCACTGCAAAGGACAGGGAAGTCTGGCTAATGTGGGATAACCCAGCTCTGCAGTCAGGACCAGGGCAGAAAGGTGGTATTGAACTTTTATTGCACCCACTTGGAGGAGCTTTGTGTGCCTGAGCTGGTGCTTCTGCTCACACACCTGGGCTTTTTCACACACCTGCACCATAGAGGTGGCAGCTCATTTAGAGTTACCACAAGCATTTATACCCATGGCAATACATCAGAGTAATCAACCTTATCAGATCTGTGATTTAACATGCCTGTAAATCATTGGTTTCACTTAGTTGAATTTTTTCAAAAATCTGGCTTTTTAGTTATAATTGAACACGACTAAAGGTTTCAAACAAAACATTGTTTAAAATTTAAAAGATCAAATGGGTTTCCCCTTGAAAATATTGCCTGGTCAACAACAACAACAAAAAAAAACCAGCTGCAGTTATTTGTGGGATTGAATTCAATGTTGTGAATTTTCTCAGTTGAGTGAGGGAGAACATGAGTAGAGAGAGGACAAAACGTTGTGCAGCAGCAAAAATAAAGCCCCAGAACACCAGAGAGTGCAAACTGAAGGCACCTGAGATGGCTGCAGGACCTGCCATGATTGTCAGTACTCCCAAGCACAGGCTGGTTTGTAGGTCACTGGTTTTGTAGCAGGCAGTGAGAACTAAAGGCTGTGACAGTCCTGAACTGCTTTAGTGCTGTAGGGCCAAACGTGGGGAAGAATGAAAGGTGGCCAGCAGCTGGGCAAACTCTGACGTTATCTTCCTCTCTGTCTTGATCTCAGCCCATCATCTGTCACATGCTGCTGCTCTGGGAATGTGTGAGAGTGAAATGAAGCCAGAGGAGGGAGCGCAGCCCCCGCTCCCCAGAGAACCACATGGTGTGCAGGTGGGCAGAGAGCTGGCCTGGCAGTGTGGGAGGGAGAGGGGTACATTAACAGAGTCAAGAATTTTCATCCTCGTGTGCATGTGCCCATGCTGTTAACTTTCTGCACGTTTAGAACTCTGGTTTTCCCAATTCCATCACCTCTGCAGAGGGGGAAGCTGTCATCTCCCTGCAGGTGAAATGAGTAACTCCACAGGTTGTGACTGTCAAGGGATACTCATTTCAAACGTGTTTCTTACACAGTATTTCAGCCATCTGAGTGCTGAAATTTGGTTGCAGGGCAGTTTAAACTCTCATGCTAATTCCAATAGTACAGTTAATGTCTTGCAAGAATTTAGGCCTGGTTCTCATTGGTATGTTACAAGACACATCACTAAAACATTGTGGATAAACTGTACAATTTCAGCTCCAGAAAGAATAGGTGTCTTGTTAACCTGTTTCTCAGAAACTGATAGAGAACATATTCCAAGGAGTTTAACTGGATGATGTTTATAAACTAACTGTACTGAATCTGGACTGATTCCAAGATTGCAATTATTATGCTGAACTGAACAATGAGAACTCAGATTCAGAGGCAATTATGATGCTAATGTATGTATGCATAGATACTTCTCTAAATTTCTGATGTGATGCACCCTATGAGAGGCACAGCAGTGAGGACACCCTAAGTCACCCCTTGTTCTACTCTAGTGCTGTAGAAATGTTCTTTGGTAGCTGATAATAATAGCTGTGCAACACCCAGTGAGAACCCCTGCTTTACTCACTCTGGGTGCTGGTTAATTTACCCTCTCACTGTCCTAGAAGTGCTGTGAGCTCTGTGCTGCCCATGAAACTGCTACAGTGGCAGCTGCTCATGGGGATGGGCAGAAAGTTTCACTGTCCTCTCTCCAGCAGGAGCAAGACTCAGGTGAATCTGAACATCCTGGACATGGTGTTCATCCAGCACCCTCTCATCAGAGGCATTCCATGCACCACGCGCTTTATTCAGAGGCTGTAAAAGAGGTTACCTTCTGAATTCCCTTTAGAAAATATCTCCAGGTGCTTCTTTGCCTTCCTTACCACCGACTCCTTGTTGTCTAGATTTTCAGTCTGGCTTGGCCACTCTCATGGGTAACTATTGCTCTGCTTCTTTCAGTATGCACTAATCCATTCTATCCAATTTTTGCCCCACCATCTTGGAAATGCAGCAAAATCAGCTTGAAAACCTGAAACATACCTTTGAACTCCCAAGTTTGAAAGCTGCCATTCAAATTAGTTTTGAGTTCATAAAATACAAAATGTTTTCTCCAGTACATACTGTAAATGTTCTCACGTGACAGACATTTGATTTATGACACTCAGTAATGGTCTGCTAGGTTAAAATGTATCTTCTTACTACAAAGTAATCTCTTAAATTTCTTTCTCCTTAAATAGGCCTTCACATAAAGCTACAGGTTCCTGCTCTAAAGGGACTGTGTAATAAAGCTCATTGATTTTCCCTTTCCATTAGAATGTTACCAAAAAACTGTTCAAGTGTATACATGGTAACAAAGAGTAAAGAAACTCATTGCTGATGGAGAAGTGACATGTGAGCTTTCTTTGTGTAATCTTAAATCATAAACACCAGAAATAAAACCGTTGAGGATTTTTTAAATTAATATTAACTGCATAACTTGATTTTTCAGTCAGATTTCAGAAGCCCTTTGTCCCAAATCTTAACAAATTGACAAGCACAGATAGTATCAACGTGTTCTTGAGAAATTATTGCTGGTTTTTGAAAATGTAGGTCATATCTGTGTAGCAAATTTAAATAATCCTCCTGAACTTAGACTTATGATAAAAATCCATTTATTCTGTGCTTCTATCTGAATACATAAAACTACACAAATCCAAATTCTTTCAATAATTTCTTCTGAAGGAGATTTAACAAACAATTCTATTTTTCAATCCATACAGAGTCAAGGAAAGAGACTTGAAAGGCCTTGAAGGTTCCAATATGATTGATGGTCTCATGACTGGAGAAAATTCTGAAGAGACAAACCAAGAATACATTAGCTCCTCTCACTTACTCTGAGGGCCTAGAGCTGATAACTATTTCATAATAATCACTATATTATATTTTTTAAAGTTTCTTTTATTATCTTTTTTTACCAGAAGTAAATACAAAACCACATAAATTTCCTCACACCTTTTAGCATCTTTGCTAATTTGGAGACAACAAAGGAACCTTCTAAATCTCACAGAGTGAATCAATGAGCTGGCAAGGGTTTCTGTAAAGGGTGACTATAGACATGCTTGAGACTTCAATATGTAAAGCTGTTTTTTTCTGTAGTTTAGGAACTTATGTCCATCTATTACCTATTTGCATGTAATAGCTGAATATGTTTGAGATGCCCTCAGCAGCTTTTTTTGAAGGTTTGGCTTTGAAAGGATGGGGGGAAAAAACAACCAAAAAAACATTGTTAGGAGCTGAATAATGCTTAAAGAACATCTTCCATGCCAAGAGCAGCCTTTAAATAGATGAAGTTAGTTGTCGTCCTCTTCTCTCTTTCAAGAAGGTTCACCAAAAGATTTATAACGATATCATCTCCAGACCATATTAACAAAAAAAAATATCCTAAACTGTCATTCATCTGTCTGCTGAGGTACTAAGATTCCCTGAAATCAGATTTGTTCTGATTGCAATGTTTATTGTGGTAGAAGCCTTTCAGAGCATGAAAATAAAGGAGACAGAAAAAAAAGACATCATAGTCAACTCTGGAAATCTATTTGCAGAAAAGTGTTTTCTGCCAGATTAAACATTGTAATTTTCAATGCTTCATGTAGTGATAAACCTTTCTTCTCCTGGAAACATCTCTTTTTAGGCACAATGACAGTACATCAGTGTTAGCATGTTCTAGTGAAGTGTGGTGTTCACCCTGAGCCTCACAGTGCAGAGCTGAGGCACAGTGTGAGGCTCACTTGCCTGGGAAGCGCCTACATTGGTGTGCCAGGTACACAGAGAACTGGCAGATGTATAGAAAGCTTTGAGAAAAAAATCTCCCAAGTGTAGCTTCCCAATACTGTGTGCCAGAATTCCTCCTCGAGGGGAGCCTTTTGGGATGTGCAGAAGCCCAAACAAGCTCTAGTTACCTGAATGAACCGTGAGTCTCATCAGTGTGACTGATAGCGCTGGGGCTGGATTTTCAAATGAACTAGCAAAGGAGATCTTTTCACATGAGGTGCTGCATCCCAATCTTTTAAGAGCTCAGTGGCAGAGCCACGAAATCCTCCCCGGCGGGCACTGCCCCGCTGCCATGGCACAAAGCTTTTCACCAGCCCGTGTGCACAGCAGGCATCTCCAGCTCTGCCAGCTGCACTTCTGCCTGCCTGTCCCAGCCCTGCTTTGGCCTGCTGAGCTCCTGATGGATCCATTCTTTCTCACAGCAAAGCAGCTTCTCCTCCTCACCTCACACCAGCTGTGCTCAGCACAGCCTCTGCTCTGCCCGAGCTGCCAAAATCTGCCCCAGAGCCAGGGCACAGGCTGCCCCTCTGGGGCTTTGAACAGAGGATGCAGCACCAGCACCCGGCCTGTGTCACACAAATGATCTCTCTTGCTTTAGAGAAGTTTGATGCACTGAGCTGTGGTCTGTTCTGAAAGACCCTTCTCTGTCATGCTGAGTTGTTTCTTTCAGTGTAAGCACCACCTCCTTCCCAGCAGCCAGAGGGATCGATAAACTGGATTCAGATTACTGAGAGTGCTGATTTGAGTGAGAGAGAGAGTGGAGTGGGTTTAGTCCATAGCATTCATGGTTTGTGTGTGCATTTTGTATTTACAAAAACAGATAACCTTTGCAATTTTTAGTGATACTTTTGTTCTATCTGAATATTCAACTTGCTGTCTGCTAATCAAACCCATCACTTGGGGTATATTCTGGCTTGCTCTGCAGGTCAGTCACAAGCCCATTAACACCAGTTCAGCTTCCCTTGTTCACCTTCACAATGCTATTGAACTCACATGGATGTAGAAAGAAGTGGGGTTTGGCATCTTTCACAGGCTCTTTTATTCACTGAGTGAAGAGTCACTTTGACCTCCCTTGTATTCTTGTTGCCAGAGTCTAACAGGTACACCAGGTCTGTTGGCTATGCACATCAAAAACTCCTATTAAAGCCAAAGGAAATTGAAGTTTGGTTCTTGTTTTTGTTTTAAATGAGGAAACTGTCATTCTCTGAATCAAAACTATTACTGGGTTCAGTGAAAAAAAAAAAGAAGGTTTAAATAGTTCAAATGCAATTTGTTAGAGTTCTCTTAAAATATACACAAAAGCCTGCTGGATGTTGCTTTAATGCTGTTAGGCTGTGTTTTTTAAGGCATGAAATTTGCCTAAGAAAAATGGGTTAAGAGAACTTGAGATAAATTTTGGATAGATAAAAAACACAAGGAGAGTACTTAACTTCACACATAGCATTACCAACAAAGTAGTCTTCAGAGACTGAGCCTGAAATACATATGGAAGTTCTCCACATCAGCTGGTATTGAAGGTTGTGTTTTATGAATACAGTACATTAATTGATAGATATGAGGCAGCAATCAAAATGTAAATAGAACTTGGTTTGCATTAGTGCCAAAGTTTGCTGTATAGATATGTAATATATGCTTTTAGGATGCTGAACTCAATTTCAAAGCATATCTTTAATTCATGAATTGTGAAAATGAATTCCATTTGTGGCTTACAAAATACTGTGATTAAAAATTATGTTTTTTTCTGGGCTGAACCAACTTACCAACTTCATAACTTCACATTATTCATGTATTGAAAGCTCTTTTTTTTGTTCCAAAAGCATTGCTACCTTTTTTTTAATACCATGAAGTAATATTCTGTTGGCCAATTGCTTTTACTGTGACAGCTGCACTTTTGGTAGATTCTGATAAACCCAACTTAGGTCAAAGGCAGTATTTCATTATTATTATTGATAAGATGCTTTACATATTTAAAGGACCATATTCAGAGGCACATGTTGTGCTGTTCCTGGCTATGTATTTATGGTTTGTGTATGAAGTTACACAGGGGGATCAAACTCCTCAGCTGCTCTGCTTTCCACTAACTGAACAGAGGAAAGGGCACATCAGCAGGGATGGTTTATACCTTGACCCTTCTGTTCAACTGTCCTAGAGATCTTGTTCTTCTGGGTGTACAAGATTAGGTCATCTGCAGAACCTTACATGAACCTCCTCCCCAGGTGCCCTGACAGTAAGTGCCAAGCAGGTGCTCTTTGAGTTGTTGAAGAAACCCCTTGGGGAGAAAGCATTGCAGGACTCCTGCAGGTAGAAGCAAATGAGGTATTCAGGAAAGTCTGGAGTCAGGCAGAGAGTTGTCACATTTGGTAATTAGGCAAACAGTTAATTTGCATTGGAAGTAGAAGTTTTCTTTAGTAGCACGTTACCAAATCCTGGCTGCACTGATGGATGTATCTAGAACAGGAGTGAGCTTGGGCTTGGGAAGATAAAATTGTGCTGAATGAGGGTAGATGTGGATTAGATAAAGAAATTCTGCATTGCAGGAGTGGTGAGGCACTGGCACAGGTTGCCCAGGGAAGGTGTGGATGCCCCATCACTGGAAGTGTTGGGGACTGATTGGGCGGAGGAACCAGGTCTAGTGGGAAGTGCCCCTGGCCATGGCAGGGGGTTGGGACAAGGTGATTTGTAAGGTCCTTCCAACCCAAACCACCCTGTGACCCTGCAGTGCCAAGGTTTGGTGTGTGTGAGAGAGAAGTGTCAAATGTGCTGGTTCTCCTGGCAGTGAGAGCCTAAGGAGAGCAGCCTCAGCACAGAGGGAGTGGCCAGCCCTCACCTCTGAAGGAGGCTTCTCTTGGAGAGAGCTTTTACACAGCCTTTTACACACCTCCAGTTCAGGAGGCAATTAGGTGACTGCCTGGAATATTCCCTGCTATTCCAGGGGAGAAATCAAATTAATAACCCATCTACTAACATGTGGGAGATGCACACTCTTTCCCCTCATTTGCAGCAGCTAATACGGGTGTTATTCAAAAAACAAATATTTACAGTCAGATCAATGTATGAGCCTTAAATGCATTACTGGAATATTTACCCCAGCCTGGTGGTTTTTTTTTTTTTTTTTCTTTTGGTTTGGGGTTTTTTTTTAATATTTTTTTTTGTTTGGTTTGGGTTTGTTTATTCTTTTGAGTTGGTCGGTTTTTTGTTTTCTGGAAGCTAACTGACCACTACCAAAATAATTTATAAATGCTAAAATTATCTCAAAAACCATGTGGGAAAACTTTAAATAACAAATGCTTATTTTGTAGCTAGGCATGCTGTTACTAATGGCTACATTTAGTGATGGAGCCTATAAACTGTAAATCATACCAGTGTTTCCCATGGCAGAGCAAGCTGCAATCCTGATCCGACAGTGCCCTTTGACCTCTCTGAGGAAGGCATAGTGGGAAGTATGTGAGGACATTATGCTTGATTAGTCTCTCCCTAGTTTGCCTGGGTGGGAAGATAATTGAAAGCACAATGGACTTTGGAAATTGAAGGTTCTGAAATGCACTTTGCAAACACATGCAATTTTAAATCTTTAATGTGTCATCTATATCAGCAGTGGACATTGTCTTCATTACATAAATACAATTCTTCTGCTAATACAGTGCAAATAGGGGTTAGGCAGCATCAGCAGCTATTGTAATTCACACTTCAAATAGCAGTATCCATTTTATATTCTTAAATTCTAAGAATTAAAAAAAAAGCTTGTAACAGAAAAACTGAATGGCTGATTGATTTCATATTTGCTGATTTATTGCATTAAGTTGAATTTTGCCCACTAAGTGATCTTATTAAAAAAACAGACAAACAACCCCAGTGTAACTTATATTTTGAGAGACAGGATTTGAGAACAGAAGGAATTTGGTTTGGCTATTTTAATACACTGCATCTATAAGCTAGTACCAAGACTATTATTCTGGATGTTTTCTGGTCTGTTGAGTCCTAATGTAGCTAATCTCCAACAGATAGTGCTGCCCAGGGTTCCTGTAAAACAATCATCTGCAAACATATTTATTAACCTTTGTTATTTAGTTTTCTGCAAAGTGCAGGCCACCCTGCTGAACAGTCTACAGCATTTATTTACAATGCTGACTCCTATTAGATATCATTAGGTAC